ATCATGTTAATCTTTTGCAGTAGAGGGCACCAGAGTGATATTTCAGGAAGAGGAGCCTGTTGTCATTTCCAGCTGGGGTCAGCAAGATGGATAAGAGCCAGCAAAGCCTGCCTCAACCTCAGGTCCAGAAAACAGTCTCTCTGCAACCATGTAGCCTTGGACATGCTGCAATAACATTTCTCTGATTGCCTCTGTGCATACTTTATGCATCCATTCATCAATGAAAAAGGTAACTTTTGATGAATTGCATAATAACTTCTTAATGTAAGAATAGTATTTCCTCAATTTTTAAAATAGTATTATGATGTAAGAGTTGCAGACAGGATATGCTTTTAAATTTCACCTTCATTGTTAACATTTTTCATTACTTTCTTAAGTTTTGAAAATCAACAAAACAATAATCAAAAAATAAAGCTCTGACCCGTGGTGTTTATCAATTTCCACAGTGTAATGTTGTCACTGTGGCTGAATTTAAGCTGCCAACATAATAGCAGTGAATGGGGAGTTAGGAAGAAATGTGTCATAGCACAACATAATTGATATTTCATTAATCAAATATAATGGTCAAAAATTACCCCAGGAGCATGAATAACAAGAAAATGAAATAAAATAATCATAAAGTGGTGAGTTTTGACTATATTTATTTTTATTTTACATTATATTTTTATGAAAATTTTATACAAATTAGTTTTAATAATAACTGGTTCTTAAAATTCCTGAAACTCACCAATCACCTCTTATGAGCTAGTATAAATCAACTTTAATACACCATTTGGTAAGTCCCTGACTGATACTATACAAGTAAGTATCTGTCACCCAACCTTCCACACATTGGTTTGTCCTTGACATTTCAAACACATTAAGGTCAAAAATCCTCATCCACAATTTCATGGCAACAAAGCTCTGAAGATAGCAGATGTGGTACCAGCACATTTTAAACCTGGACCTGCCATTTACAGTTTTATTTATCTTACTTTGAATCACACATTTCTCTTCAAAATAATTACTGTATTTAATTAAGGGGGGGCTATCTTAGATTCTTATATTTCTACTTGGGACATAAAATAATAAATATTATGCATTGTTTTACCTTTTTTTTGGGGGGGGGGTGCCAGGGATTAAACCAAGGGAGTGTTTAGCCACATCCACATTTTTTTTTTTTTGAGACAGGATCTCACTAAGTTGCTGAGGTTGGCTTTGAACTTACAATCCTCCAGCCTTAGCCTCCTAGTCATTGGGATAACAAGTATGCATCAATATGCCCAGCTTTTTTCACCATTCTAAAATCTGAAAAACTCTCAGTTCTGATTCACATCAGTTTCCAAAGATTTTAAATAACTGATTATGGGCTTATACTGATCTTCATAAAATGTCAATACATTGGCTTTTTGCCAACCCTTCAGTGTCTTCACATCACTAATGGGATAGAATCTCAGTTTTTTAGCATAATGCAAAAGGCCCATAAGCATTTACTTCTCCAATTTCTCCTCCTGAGAATTTCCACGTTGTCCTTCTCCATCAAACTATTTCTAGGAGTCTGACCAACCATGACTAATGACTGAATTGAGCTCATCAATCACTGCACACCTGCATCTTATACCTTTTGGAAAGAATCAGAATCCAATCAGCCTCATGACTACTAGAGGGGTGTTGTCTATCTTCCCTGCTCTATCACTTCCACCTCTCCATCTGGCCATTTCATGCACCCCAACCTCCATTTCTCATTTGTAAAATGGTGATCATAAAAGCAACAAGGTTGCAGGAAGTTAAAGCAAATTTATGAATGTAAACATATGCTTTAATGTGCCAGGTATATTAAAAGGCCTTTTACATTCATCATTCTGAAACTGGAATTCTTATTTAAAAGCAGATATACTTCACATTGCTGGCAGAGCAACCAGAGGCATCTCATCTCCATGCAGGAGCTGAGAGTCAATGTGCATGAAGCCCCATTATCTCCATTATACACAGAAGTGTTATGAGAGGGTATTGTGTGGTTGGTGGGATTAAAGAAGATGGTCTACATTGAGGATTTTATAATTCATGGGACCTGAATGAATGAGTCTCCCTTCTCTGTAAAATAAAGAAGCAAGAGGCAGAGTAGTCCCAGGCTCTCTCTTTCTGAGCTTGTATGTTTGTTTGTTTGATTTGGTTTTTATTGTTTTGCTGTTGCTGTTTTAGCAGCCCATTTTCTTTGTTCTCATTACTACTGTTTCTTTCCCCTTTCCCCATATTGATGTCCTACAATCTCTAATCAAACAAACAAAAAGACTTAACTCTTCAAGACCTTTGGGAGCTTCTGTCAACCCTCCTCTTTCTGACAATGGGGCCTCCCTCCTGTGTCTGAACAATCACAGGGACTGAGCCTCATTCATTGAGTTCAGAAGCCAGCCCTTCCCATTGGACAAGACCCCAAAGGACCAGCTTTAAGTTTTAAGTAGCAAAGAGAAGAAAGTAGCAATTCTCACCATTGTGGAAATGACTGAAATCAGGACCTTTTTTGAAACCATCTTTTAATTGGAAGGAGAAATTAAAGAATTATGGCAGAGAGGCAGACTGAAAAGAATACCAAACTCATCTCATATAAAGTGAGATTGGTTCCAAACTGTAGGAAAGAAATGTGAAAGCAAACATGATTGCATGGAACCCCATGTACACAAGATAGATCACTCATTGTTGTCCTTAATTTAGATAAGTACCAAAAAATAAAAGAGAAATGGAAAATGAGTCTATAGATAGGCTTTACTCATTTCAGAGCTTCTTATTAGATTCAAAACTGGGTTCAAAGTTTGGGTCTTTGGGACATAGCTATTCATATTTATCTGAAATTAATGATTGTACTAATTATTGTAGCTGATATTAAGTCAAGCACCTAGAATTATGGTGCTAAGCTTCCATGCAGATTGAACAATCTGATTTATCTTTGGTCTACTTACATCTGCAAGTCTTTATAATCACTAAACAAAAATCAAACAAACAAAAAGGCACATTTTTATACAAATAAAACCAAACTATTTAAATATACAATATTAAATAAATTAATGGTCTATCATTTGAGAACTCAAAAAGGGTTACAACTAGATTTTGAAAGGCCATATTTATGCATTCTTCCTTATAAGAGAGATGCATTACCAAAACAAATTAGGTAAGAATTTATTTCTGATTGTACCTCTGGAATCTATGTGGATATGGTCCTAATTAAAGCAGGGTTTTTATTTGCTTTAGTCAAATTTTACTCTGTGTAAGGAGAATGGGGGGTAAGGAATAACATGGAGACTGTTCAAAGTAAATTATTGAAAAGCCTGAATTATAGGCTTCCCTTTTCATTAGCGTTAACTCAGAAATGATAGAGATGGGATAGGATGCAAATTAAGGTAGAGACAACAAAAGATGAAGAAGGGGAAAGGGAAGGAGAAGATGGAAAGGAAGATGGAGAGGAGGAGGATGGAGAAGCAGTCTTTAATTGATAGTTCGTGCTTGGGAATAGAGGAGGACACTAAAGTAAATCTCACTATCGTGTAAATCCAAAAGACACTAATTAAAAATAAAACTATAAGTAAATAACAGAAAGACTTCAGTAGAGAGAAGGGAACAGGAGGGAGGAGGGTAAGAAAAAGGAAATTACTGGGGGCTGAATTAGAGCACATTACATTCGATGCTTTTATAATTATGTAAAAATGAATCCTAATCTTATGTATAATGAAAATATATTTAAAAAGAAAAGAAAATCCTCTATGCTATAGACACTTTGCAGATATCATCTTATTTAGTCTTCTAAAGAACCATTTTATAGATGAAGAAACAAAGGCTCAAATTGGACAGGCAAGTTGTATTTCAAAAGTTCTATTCATCCAATTCTGGAACCCATTTGAAAGAATAGTATAAAATAGAGATTAATCAGACAGACTCACAGGTAGTTTGGCTCTATTTCCTGTTGATTGAGGCATTTGTTCTGCTGGCCTGGGATGTTAAACTTTCAAGTGTTGCCCTCTTTCAACTGAGTTAAATATGTCCGACTTAACTAAATTATTCTTCCCTCATAGCATAGGAATCACTGAGCTTCTCTGCGGGATTCTTTGGCAATCAGGTTACCAGGCCAGAAAACAGAAGTTATTGAATACATTAAGTGTCATAGAAGGATATTCACATTTTCCATTTAATATTATGTGTTCTGTCGTAAATAAATTAACTAATTAAATAAATAGAAGAGTTGCCTCTTTCCCTTATCATGTGGATATTTTGCTTTTTGTTGTAAAAAACATGAAATCACTAATATTCACTGGGTGGGTAAAGAAAGGGTCACTCAGACAATAGTTTCTAGGCCCAACAAAAAGTTAAACATCTGCATGCTGAAAATTTGCAATGAGAACTCTCATCACTAAGATAAGCCTTGAGGGGTAAATGCAGGAGGGTAATAATATAAGGACTTATGTGTTAGACTTGTTTTTTATCCTAATTTCCACAGGTGGCCTGGTATTCCTTCTCATATGGCTGACTGTACATAAAATACAATTTAAACTATACAAGTTGATCCATTAATTCTCTTTCCTACTCAAAGCAATTCAGGGAAGGTACCATTCTTGAAGTTGCACATTTATTCTACACACTGCCAGCCTGAGATCTTAACCTTGAACTCTACTTTCTTGCCATTACACTGGAATGGAATGATTAATAGCCCAATATGGTTATAGGAAATGAGACTAGAACTAGAGATTTAGGAAGTTAATGCATCAGTCATTGAGAGCCATGCCACAGGCCTGCCCTGAAGTAGTCTTAGTAACGGCCAAACAAGAGGACCAGCCCAGATAACAGAAGGAAAAGTCCAAACTGGCCATTTGATCAGCCATGCGACAGAAGGAACTTGTCTTCCTAGATGGAAAAGCCAATCAATTCTCATATAGCAACCAGAAGAAAATCTATCAGAGGTTCATTTCTTGTTCTGCTATAGTGATGTCAAGGAAAACATTTCCAGTCTAGTTCCTTTGGCCATAGCTACTCACTCTGTCAGGAGCCAGAAGCCTTGAATGGTCTCTCCATAAGTCTCAGCTATGTGGCCTTTCAAGTCCTCCAGGGCAGTCTCAATGGTCCCTGGCTGCAGGGAAGAAGAAAATACCTAGTTTAGAGAAGATTAGGCCACTTTGTTAGAATATCCCAGATTTGTTAGAATAACCCAGCCGTTCCTCCACAAAGCAATTCAGGGAAGGTACCATTCTTGCAGTTGCACATTTATTCTACACACTGCCAGCCTGAGATCTTAGCCTTGAACTCTACTTTTTAACAATTTGCTGAGCATTGGTGAAGCAAAAGTAATCCAAGTCTTACTCCTACTTTCTCATGCAAATGCAGACAGCCATTTTCAGAGGACCAATTTTTCCAAGTATGTTAATCAGGAAATTTCAAGTATTTAGAACTGTATACATTTTTAAATCAAACCTTTCTCTTAGGAGAACACTTCAATAAAACAGAATAACATTTTTCTTCCAATGCTTTGATCATAAATTTTAGCTCATTCTGAGAGATGAGCTTTTTTTTTTACCTTTCTGCCTCACTTTCTTGGCTCTTTCCCAAATAAGTGTTTCTGCTTACTGGCCTAGTTCTACTTATTGATCGACACCTATCCTAATGAAGCCTGAACTAGACTGGCAGTGAGTCTAGATTGGTAAATCAAGTCAGATCTGATGGAGGAGGCCAATTTGAGTCCAGAAAGTTGGAGAGGGATTGAAATGCTAATGCCTTCAGAGACTTTCATTCACCCTCACCAAGATAACCTGCCCTGGCTCCAACCTGCTGCTAAGGTAAGCTGTCCCAGGGATTGTCCCTCCCTAAGGGAGTTGTTAATTATGCCCTCTTCCTGTCCAGATCATTTCTCCCCAGCCCCTCCAGCCCACCTGTTTCCCACCTTTTGGCCATCCTACCGAGGATCTCCTGGGCCGAGTCCCTGCTCAGGAAGAAAAAGATAAGGGAAAGAGACCAGGAGAACAAAGGAAGCCTAAGACATATAAAAAAGGCAAAACCCCTCACTTCTTGGGATACCAGGATACCAGCTATGGCCCCCTTCTCCCTCCCAGGAGAAGTCTATGTTACCCTTTTTAAACAAACCCTGCTTTATATTCTTGCCTCGGCCTGCTTCCCTAATGTTGTACTTCAACAGGTGAGGGAGCAGAATTCATCACTGGTAACTAAGAGTATCACTGATAAGTTCATACTTTCTAGCTCAAAGATCATAAACTTTGGTGCACATGGAAATCACCTGGAGTATGTGTTGGGATACATATTTATGGGATCATCCCAGAATTTCTTATTCTGTCAATCTGGGTCAGGAAAAAGATAATTTGTATTTCCAACAAGTTCCCAAGGTGATGTTGTCAGTGTGAAGTTTGTACTTATAAGAATCAATGCCATCAAGGCAACTATTCTCAGTCCTTGGTTGCATACCAGAATTGCCAGGGAGGTTTGAAAAATCCTAACACCAAGGATGCAGACTAGAACGAGTATACCAGAAACTCAGTGGACGGGGCCCATGTCTAAGTATACCAAGAAATTTAAAGCATCCCAGATTATCCCTATACCCAGTCAAGGTGGAGAACCACTATAGCCTGAGACTTATAAAATCTAAGCTGTTTTGTTTTATTGATAAGAAGAGATTACAAGAAAATTGACCCTTCATTTTTAGGTATCTAACATGGTGCTGACTCTGTTCCCAGCACCGGGCTGCAGTAAAGACAATTCAGTTGTAATATCTCATATGTATTCTCTGTATAATAGGACTTTAATGCCAAATATCTAAACTGCTGTACATATTAACATTCCTAATCCTCTTAGTATAAGACCCTCCTCTCACAAAAGGAAACAGGGACCCTAGCCTGGCCAGGACTGATTCAAATACCTGCTGGTTGTATGATTATCATTTGCTTGTTTTTTTCTACCTTTGATAAAAGGCTCTGAAACACTTAGAACATAATGTCCATTTGTTAAGGAAAAGATTATGGGAACCTATCTATGAAAAACAAGAAAGGAATTGAGCTGCTTCAGCTGGAATGAGGGTAAATGATACAGTGTCACTTACTTAGCTCCTCCCCAAGCCCATCATCCAGGAATGAACAGCATTGAGTGACCTGGGTTCATATTCCAGATCTGTCACTGATTAACTCTGTGATGATAGCTAATTATTTGGTTTTCCTGGACCTCCACTTCTTTGCCAGTGAGATGAGAGACTGGACTAAGCCAAAATTTTATAAGACAAGCTGATGAGCAAAACATCCTATAAACCTTCGGGGAAATATGATCAGAGCCCTTAGAGTGAGAGACTCTGATTCCATCATTTTAACAAGTTTCTCACTGAGTTGGATAGTCAGCCTGTGGACTGAGTGATTTCTAACTCTATCACTGTCCGCTGCTGGCTAGAGAGTTGTCAGAGAGCTAACATGGCCTCTCAGGCTTGCTGAAGCCTGTCATGAAATCAGTAACTTCTGGAACTTGTGTCCAATGCACCTTGAACTTCTGCTAACTGAGAAGTTGGTGCCAACATGACTCATTTCCTGAGATTCTGCAGGCAAGGTTAAACTGCCCTGGAGGGAGATTCCCATGATCTCCTGACCGTCCTCCCTTCACCGAACCTGGGCACCCATTCTGCAGTCTGACTTTTCCAAGTACACTGTTAAAAGTTTTCTAAGAAAAATAATGCTTCTTTGATGAGTCAGCATGGGTACTTTTCTCTCTTTTTGTATCACAGAATTTTGGCCTCTCACAAATATAATTCAGTAGTGAGACTAATACTTTCCAGAAAAAAGTGAAGTTGGAGAATAATGAAATAATCCCCAAATAAGCATTTTATTGAATACTTTTATGCCAGGCATTTTGCCAAAATATGTGAAGATAAATATAATAATGTAGAACATTTTCTAAACCTTACTTATCTTCCCTATGTAAAGTAATTGGCAAAGTCGATGAAAAAGAAAAATGATTTACATTTCTCTAATTGCTAGAGATGTTGAATATTTTTTTCATATGTTTGTTGATTAATTGTATATCCTCTTCTGAGAAGTGTCTGATCAGTTCCTTGGACCACTTGTTGATTGGGTTATTTGGTTTGTTTGTTTGTTTGTTTGTTTTTGGTGTTAAGGTTTTTGAGAGATTTAAATATCCTTGAGATTAGTGATCTATCTGATGTGCTTGTGGTAAAGATTTGCTCCCAAAATGTAGGCACTCTATTCACCTCACTGATTGTTTTTTTGTTTGTTTGTTTGTTTGTTTGTTTTCTGAGAAGAAGCTTTTCAGTTTGAATCCATCCCATTTATTGATTCTTGATTTTAATTCTTGCGCTATAGGAGTCTTGCTATTAAGGAAATTGGGGCCTAATCTTGCTGGGAGCCATTAGCCAAGTAGGTATGACAATTTCCTTGCCAGCGTACCCCATGTTGCAGTGACATTGAATGTAGATGACCTTGCTCAAGGACCAAGGCAGATTAGGGTGTTCCCGGTTTTAAGATAATCGTGTTTAGGGCGTTCCCAGTTTAGGTTCCAGGTTTAAGGTTTAAGATTATTCCTGCTGGGAATAGGGCGTATCCTGCTGCCTGAGTTCCCCTTGAGTTCTCACGGGATTTAGACAATATATTTTGGAGATAGAAGCCCAGTGGAGGTGGATTTGGGCAGAGAATGTGGATTTGGGCAGAGAACGTGGATTTCCCCAGAACGTGATTGTAGACGGCTGGTGTGAGTTCGGGAATAAAGAGTTGCTGTTTGAATCTACAAGCTGTGTGGTGGCTCGTGATTGTGTGCCCAGCCAGACTGCGGCATTTGTGCCCAGCCAGACTGTGGCATAATCTGACATGATGAAGATTTGGGTCTACTTTTTCTTTCATTAGACGCAAGGTCTCTGGTTTATTTCCTAGGTCCTTGATCCACTTTGAGGTGAGTTTTGTGTATGGCAAGAGATAGAGGTTTAATTTCATTTTGTTACATGTGGATTTCCAGTTTTCCCAACACCATTTGATGAATCTTTTCTCCAATGTATGTTTTTGGCATCTTTGTCTAATATAAGATAACTGTAGTTATGTAGGTTAGTCTCTGTGTTCTTTATTCTGTACCATTGGTCTATAGGTCTATTTTGGTGCCTATACCATGCTGTCTTTGTTACTATTGCTCTGTAGTATAGTTTAAGGCCAGGAATAGTAATGCCACTAGCTTCACTCTTCTTGCTAAGAATTGTTCAACATCTCTAGCAATTAGAGAAATGCAAATCAAAACTACTTTAAGATTTCATCTCACTCCAGTCAGAATGGCAGCTATCAAGAATACAAACAACAATAAGTGTTGATGAGGATGTGGAGAAAAAGGCACACTCATACATTGTTGGTGGGACTGCAAATTGGTGAAGCCAATCTGGAAAGCAGTATGCAGATTCCTTGGAAAACTTGGAATGGAACCACAATTTGACCCAGCTATCTAACTCCTCGGTCTATACCCAAAGGACTTTAAAACAACATACTACAGGGACACAGCCATATCAATGTTTATAGTAGCACAATTCACAATAGCTAAATTGTGGAACCAACCTAGATGCCCTTCAGTAGATGAATGGATAGGGAAACTTTGGTATATATACACAATGGAACATTACTCAGCATTGAAAGAGAATAAAATCATGGCATTTGCAGGTAATGAATGGAGTTGGAGAATATAATGCTAAGTGAAGTAAGTCAATCCCAAAAACCAAAGGCTGAATGTTTTCTTTGATATGAGGATGCTGACTCATAATGGTGATGAAGGGGTAGCATGGGAGGAATGGAGGAACTTTAGATAGGGCAAATGGGAGGGAGGAAAAGGGAGGGGTCAAGGAGGTAGGAATGATGGTGGAATTAGTTAGACCCTACGTACATGTATGAAAACACAAGTGGTGTGAAAATACTTTGTGTACAATCAGTGACTTGAAAATTTGTGCTCTGTCTGTATGATATTAAATGAATTGCATTCTGCCATTGTATATAACAAATTAGAATAAATAAACAATAAAAATGATCTAACTTTTTTTTGAGAGAGAGAGAGAGAGAGAGAGAGAGAGAGAGAGAGAGAGAGAGAGAGAGAGAGAATTTT